CGTGAGGGGGGATGGGTTTCTTATGGTGGTGCTGAGAGAGAGAACGATAGATTCCCCTGACCCCTTTAACGGTACGCTTGGGGAGTCGATGATGGACGAGTCGAGCCCTTATACTCTCCCTTCGGGAGTTTGCGTACAGTCTAGAGGGCATGCTTATCACACTTGTGCACTCTGCGAAAGTAAGTCATGATATTACTAACGTGTCTCTACCTCACTGTGGTCGCACGAACGCTACACCCGCCGCTAACCTGCGCCTATAGATGACCATCTCTCCTCTATAGACGACGCGCACTATGTTCTCGAGCCCATTCCTATCCCACATGAGCACGCATCTGACCTAGCGAGCCCCTGCCGACAGAGGGCTCAAAGTCCTGACTCGGGCTTTATCGAGTGGCTCGACACATACCTCTACACCCTCGGCCTCAAAACCCCCACCATACCCAATCTCTCCCCTCCACCTCACCCGCAGAACACCATCGACAGTGTCTACTCGCCAGCAGAAGGCATCATCTCCTCTCGCCGGGCACGGCCATCACACGACGTCGTCCTCGAACAAAATGATATGCATCCTTCTCCGACGTCACACCTATACAGTTTGGGCGACACTATCAAGCCGTACACGTGTTCGAGCTGCGGCAAGTCGTTTCATCGAAAGGCGCGCGCAGAGGGATGCGAGAACCGACACCGGGATCTGCGACCGTACGTCTGCACCAAACAATGCGGTAATCCAAACTGGTGCGACTGGGCATTCTTTTATCCTTCTTCCTTTGTTTCGGGTTTTGTGCTGATTGGTCGTTGGTAGCGTAAAGACGTTTGCGAGTCGACGAGATTGGCAAAAACATGACCGGTCGCGAGTCCAAAAGATGGTGCCTTGTTGTATCTGGTACGGCCCGTTAACCTATGTGTTACATGTACCTGACGTTTTACTCACCCGTTTGCTAGTTGGCAGATGGTCCTTAGGCAGAACCGAGCCAAACACGAACGCAAATGCCGCGAAAAGAATGCCCCTAGAAGCAATTGAAAATTTAACCCTCGCTTGCCACTGAAAATTTAACCCTTCCCCCCTGTACAATAGTTGCTGCTCCTTTTTTTCGGCTTGTTCCGCTGCCGTCGAACTGGTGTTGCCATTTGACGTAAACGCGCCACATGAGCCCCTCTGTACGTTATATGTCGTAGAATGCAACCACTCTTCATCCTTTTCCCATCGCTATGGTATTGTAAAAGCGGGCTTGGTGATTACGACCGTGGCACGGTGGCTCACGAGAAAAAAGGAGACAAGCGACGGAAATAGAAAGCGCCGGAAGTACCGTACCCCTCCCTCATGGGCCAAACGCCAATTCGACTGGTTACTGATTGCCTAATAGAGTTTGGTTGTTGGTGACGAATCTGATATGGTTGAAGAGAAGTTGATGACCGAAATGGGAGGGCAGTGCAGATGACGTCCTCCCCTATTATTCCCATCTGGTCCGTAGAATTCGCCTGTGCTGGGATGAGTAACCATAGTCACACAGAGTAGCATTGGCCTAGCTTATCGCTCAGGAAAGAGAGTACTGGCGACACTAGTCTGTCATTCATCTTTCCTACAAAACACGTCTATTTGTTCTTAATTCTTGCTTATGCAGTACGATAGATGAGATGGACACCACTGTCCGTCTCGACGATCCCACTCATCTCTCCGACCTGGAGGGCAAACGTCGCGTCCTCGAACGGCTTTTGCATCTGGCCGCGTTCGAACGTGCCGAGATCGCCATTTCGAGAGGCAGACGAGCAGTCTGAATTTTCTTTGGCGAGGGCGGAAAAGGTGGCAAACTGATCGCGACTCGATTCGATTTGGTCCTTGTATCCTTCCAGGATGTCAATGGCTTCCTCTTTTGTGCGCGTAATGTTTGCCTATTTACGTCACAACCAGCTATAAGCAAAAATTGTTGTTGTAGATGAAGAAATGAAAAAGTTGCTGACCTCTTTCCAGCTGGAGGGACGGCGGCTATCGCGGTGCTTGACGAGGAGATGGCTCGCGCGGACGGACCTGAGCCCCGCAGACGAGGGGGCTTGATCGAGGAGGTATGCTCCTGGTAGACTTTTCACTTCATTGGGGGCTACTTCGTCAGGACGGTCCCAGGAGGACTGGTTTGTCTCCTTGTTGTAAAAGTAGGGCTTGCGCCTCGAGTTGGACATTCGGACTTCCCATCCCTATTAAGAAGTATTGTGAATATAGTTTTAGCGTGCAGATGGAGGCCGCGGACTGACCATTGTTGAAAGGCGTTGTGTGGCTGCGATCCAAAGTGGGCTACGTTGCCCTCGCGACTCGCCACCACCGCTGACCTCTGGCAGCTGCCCCAAGCCTCCACTGAAGCGATTGTCCCGGCAGTCAGAATAACGTGCTCGCTTTGATGCTGCTAGCCAAGTCAAGAGTAGCGACTGTCATGGAAATGGGAATATTGCAACGCCAATATCTCAGGTCCGCTTGTCATCTTGATCTGTCTGTCGAGGCTCCATGTGCCAGTCCGCTTCCTCCCGCGCCGCCCAATCGGCGAATAACCAACAAAAAAGTATAAAATGCTCCTCGACTCGACCTCGATTCTGCATTCACACCTCCGCTTTTTCGTCTCTTCCTCTCCTAGCCAGGCGCATTTCTCTTTTTACTCGAGCTCTAGCACTCATTCGTTTGCACACACCAACTTTCATTTTCACATCTTTTTCGCTAGAAGCTCCAACTCG